AACCTACATGCCTTATAACAAATACTTAAAAAAATAAAAAGAAAAGAAAATCAGTGCATCACATATAGTAGGCAGTAAGTATTATTTAATGAATTTATGCTCAATTAATGTGCATGACCTGGGCTGTGGTATAAAATGTACTTATGTTACACCTAGAAGAATAAGGGGCTGATAGGTGATGTAGTGGTTAAGGCACTGGACTCCCACATGGCCAAATCATGGTTCGTGTCCCAGGCCTGATGGCTTGAAAATCATGCAAGGCGTGTGTGTATGTGTGCCCAGAATCCCAGGAGGAGAATGGAGGAGAAGGAATTGAGGTGTGGCCATCCTTAAGGGATGATTCCCGCTTACCATGTAGGATCCAGCTTCTTCTGCAGAGTGCCCAACAATGGCATTGTACTGCGTGACCAGCTGAGGACCTTGCTTTTGCTTCTCTGTTGTGGGGACGGCGCCAGCTCTGATGTCTGTGAGTTGGAATGGCGGTGCCTTGACTCTAAGCATTTCACAGGTTTCACTGTCTCTTCAGTGAGCACATGTGCCCTATGGCAAAGACCTTAAAAAAAAAAGTTCAAAAACTGTCGTTCTAAGGCATTCATATTATTGTCAACTGGACAATAATAGACTTTTTGGACACATTGTCAGTGAGTCTCTCCTGTCTTCCCATGGTCATGTCTCAGCAGTCTGCAGTTTGAAGAAAGAGTTCTTTCTCTGGCCTTCTTTGCTTGTTTTCATCTGTTTGCATAGAATTCTTTTAAAGTGCTGAATCATGATTTTTCTTTTCAGATAGTCTTCTGCTTAGGATTTTTTCCCAGACCGTTTCCTTTCTTCTTTAATATTCCTCTAGCCTTGTGGCCTTACCTTATAAAACGCAGCACTCCCACCCCAGTTTCTTCTCTTGCTACCTGGTTCTGCCTATTTACCTGTATGTCTTCCCACCCACTCCTGCCCTGTTACTGTTGCTGTAGCAACTGCCATCTCAGTCTCTCCGCTTCCCATTGCCTTTCTCTTCCTGCCAACCATTGTTCATTGAACTCTGCCTCCCTAGTTTCATACGCTGGGAGGTCAGGGTGATGCTATGTAATATGGAGATTAAATGACTGCTTACGAAACTCCTCTCTATTTCACAAAGCTTGGGGTAAAAGGGAGTTTTGAATAATCCAGGCCACATGATGGCCTCAAATGACTAAAGATTGATCCAGTGTCCTAGGACAAATCTGTTATGGCAATGGCTCTTAATTTGCTTTGAGATCTTGGTTGGTTCTATGTGCCTTTTTTTTTTTTTTTGAGAGGTTTTTCGCTATAGGGCATGTGCGCTCGCCGGACAGACAGAGAGAGACATAGAGACAGAAAGCGAGAAATCACCCCCCAGGGGGGATGGTCACGCCGCAATCCCTTCTCCATTCTCCTCTCGGGATCTTGGGCGCGCACGCACATGCGACCTGCGTGAATTTTAAGCCACCGGGTCCAGGGCGCGAACCGCGGTCGACTACGTGGGAGTCCAGCAACATAGCCATTATGCTAACTGCTGGTTCCCGGTTCTATGTGGCTTTTGAGATCTCTGGGCCAAAGGCACAAACCTGGGCTCGAGAACACCTCAACTCTGGGCTTGTTCCTGTTCTGCAAGGTGGTAATTAGAAACACTGGCATGCCTGCCATCCATGTTTACATCGTAAATGACTGGATATACCATTTGATTATGGAAAGATCTCTTTGGAAGTTTAGTCAAGCCTTTCTGCCACCCTCACTCAAATTTAATTTTATGAATGCTCAAAAAGTATACTGAAATCATATCTGTATCTCAAGCTGGAGAAGCTTGGTGGTGAATCACTTTCTGGGGGTAATGAATTTGCTGTCACAGATCAAAACGTATCTTTCTTAGGGTGGTCATAACAATAGTTCTGCTTCCCTCTAGTGAAGTTTCAATTTTGGGACTGAGGATCGTATAGAAACACCGAAGAGAAAGCCCAAGTTCTTCAGCTCTCTTCCAACTTAATACACACAAAAATGGTTAAAAGATGATTGAGACTCTGAACACACCTGAATGAGACCCTTGTGGGCTGTGATCCCTGAACTTGCTTGTTTCTACCTGGTTTTGGTTTCTTCTAGGATTTGTCATGTTTTATTGGTTGTATTACAGGAACTTTGAAATATCCTGTATTCTCATAGGTCATCTGTCCTAAAATAGAAACTGGTGAGATGGAGCTGGCAGATAGCGTGGTGATTAAGAGTGCTGGACTCCCACATGATTGACCACAGTTCAAGTCCTGGACCTGGTGCTTTGCTTTCTCACTTTCTCTCTCTCACTCTGCCCATCTTTGGTCAAATTAAAAATAAATAAATAAATAGTTAAATAAAATAATTCTTTAAAAAAGTGGTGAGAAATTTTCTCATATCTAAGGGATCTGGCTTTCTTTCTTTTTCTTTTATGCCAGAGGGTGCATGGGTGCCACAGTAGAGAAAGAGAGAGAGAGAGAGAAACCACTTCCCCAATGGGGCCTGGTTACACTGCCATTATTTTTCTTCCAATTTTTCCTTCCGTCCGGTCCCTGGAAATGTGCACACAGACCCAGTGTGTTTTTTAAGCCAGCAGGACTGGGAATTGAATTGCTCACCACATGGGATCCAGCTTCCTCTGCACTATGCCTAACAACTGCACTGCACTATGGGCCCATCCAAGGACCTCGCTTTTGCCTCTCTGCTGTGGGTACAACACCAGCTCTGATATGGCAGTGCCTTGACTCCAAGCATTTCACAGATCTAATGAAACTTTCACACAGAAACTATGAGAAAACTCATGCCAGCAGGCTTTGGCAAACCTTATTGGCACTGTCAAGTAGCATCAGATGAATTACCGAATCGTGGATGTATGGTACTGTGGGTTCATGGAGTCTGATCTTGGAAGCTTTTTCAGTTTCTTGTATTGAGCTGGACCTGATACTCCCAATCACTTTCCCCAGAAACAGCCTTCGCCTGTTTCTCCTCTGTTCCCAGACCTTAGACTTGGCCAAGTTCTTTTTAAAGTATTCTTTTTATCCTGCCAGAGTAATAAAGAAGTCCAACTGAGAATTTTTTGGTACCAAAAAAAAAAAAAAAGACAAGAGGCCATACAAGTGAAGAGTGTTTTTCTGATACTGCAGTTCTTTTGCTTTTGTCCTAGGTCTTCTGCAGGCTGACCCTTGGATCACCTTCTACACCATCCTCATTGCACTTTATAGCAAATCCTTGGCTGATGATAGGTTGGGAATAGATGTATTCATCTTATTTTCTTTCGAGGATATTTTTACTTGGACTCATGTTAGCTTGTTTTGTTAGTCCTTTCATGATATTGCTGACCTAATTTTGGGGTGTCATGGTAGCTACTTCTCTGGAGGGATGGAAACTGCACCTTCATTATCAAGATCAATTTCTAAAAAGCAAGTCAAGATAGTGTATTCTTGATGTATATAATATAGTACACTCAGTTCTCTCAAAGGAAATGAAATATTTCTCCTTCAGGGAATGTAATAAGGACAGGAAAGATATATTTCAGAGATTATTGAAATCGAACTCTGATCTTTGGGGATCTTTTTCTACAAGACATAGGGCTATATAAAGTGCTATACTCTGTCCAGCAGAGTGGTTAAGGAGCTGAACTCCCACATGACTGACCAGAGTTCAAGTCCCAGATTCAATAACTTCAAGATCATGCTGGGCGAGTGTGTGTGTGCATGCCCAAAATCCCAGGAGGAGAATGGAGGAGAAGGGAATGTGGTGTGGCCATAGCCCTGGGAGTTTATTTCTCACTTCCCTTCTCTCTGTTTCTTTCATGAATGCACGGTCCCTATGGTGGTGGTGGTGGTGGGGGGTGCTGTATGGTGTGGTTGGCTTTCCACTGGGTCTTTAGTAATCTCACCTCTCTCCACCTTTTTTCTCCTCTTGTCCCATCTTCCAAAAAATTTTTTTCTTTTTAATTTAAGAGAAGTTTTTGCTATAGGGCATGTGCACTTGCCAGAAAGACAGACAGAGACAGAGAGACAGAAAGCGAGAAATCAATCCCCGGGGGGATGGCCACTCCACAATCCCTTCTCCTCCATTCTCCTCTCAGGATCTTGGCACGACCACACCCCTGGCGTGATTTTAAGCCACTGGGTCTGGGACTTGAACTGCAGTCAACTATATGGGAGTCCAGCAACATAGCCATTACACCAACTGCTGGTCCCCCCACCTTCCACATTTTAAAATGGAATTCTTTTTCCCAAAGAGTGGCTCGAAAGTCACTTACATCAGATTAACTGAGGTCACTTATTAAATGCAGATGCCTGGGCCTGTTTCGCAAGTTCAATTAGAATACTTGGGGGTAGAGTCTGAGAATCTACTTTTTAAATTTTTTTTTAAGAGATCTTTGCTATAGAGTGTGTATGTTCACCAGAGAGACACAGAGAGACAGAAAGCGACAAATCACCCCCCAGGGGGGGATGGCCATGCCTTAATCCCTTCTCCTTCATTTTCCTCTCAGGATTTTGTACATGCATGCACATATGCCCGGCATGAATTTTAAGCCACTGGTTCCAGGACTCAAACCATGGCCTACTACATGGGAGTCCGGTGATGTAACCATTATGCTATCTGCTGGTCCTGAGAATCTACATTTTTAAGAAGCAGAAATTATTTTTATGCATATTACATTTGGAACCATGACCTATAGAATTTTTTTTTTTGGAGAGGTTTTTTTGCTATAGGGTGCGTGTGCTCGCCAGAAAGATAGAGACAGAGAGACAGAAAGTGAGAAATCACCCCCCAGGGGGGATGGCCATGCCACAATCCCTTTTCCTTCATTCTCCTCTCGGGATCTTGGGCACGCTCGCACACACGCCCGGCGTGAGTTTAATCCATCGGGTCCAGGACTCAAACCGCAGTCGACTACATGGGAGTTCAGCGTCATAGCCATTGCACTTACTGCTGGTCCCACCTATAGGAATGACCAACTGTAAAACCCCTACCAAGAAATTACATATAATACACAACTCATGGTGCTCATGTACTAAAATTGGAATGATACAGAGAAGATTAGCATGGCCTCTGTGCAAGGATGACACACTAATTTGTGAAGTGTTCTATATTTTTAAACTAGAAATGGAAAATTATTGATGATAACATGCATGATTAAGCCACTATGCAGTTTATTCTACATGGGAAACCATATTTGGTATGTTGTGATGATGCTTAGAGGATGAATGTAAATTAATTAATTTAAAAAAAAGTTTCAGGAGGAAAAAAACACACGAAAACTGTTTTTATTGAAATTTTTAAAAATGCTTATTTGATGGCTGCAGTAAGCTGTACAGCCCCAGCTAGGCGTATTTTATAGTATGTTCATGCTACTCACTGAGGTTTATGCCTAAAATCAGACTTGTGTTCGCACACACGCCCGGCGTGAGTTTAATCCACCGGGTCCAGGACTCAAACCGCAGTCGACTACGTGGGAGTTCAGCGACATAGCCATGACGCCAACTGCTGGTCCCAATAAATAAATTTTTAAAAATTAAAAAAAATTAAAATGAAGCTGAAAAAAATGCAACTCACTTTCCAGATTTCAATTGACTTTCCATTGCTCTGGAAGGAATTGAATTTTGTGTCTAACCATTAACTATTCCGTGTTGGTAGCTGCTGTCTTAGATCGCACTCCTAAATGTTACAAGAGCTAGAATCCTACTCATCTTCTGTGAGAGAGAGCGTTCCCTGCCCAGAAGTATAGCCAGAGGAAAGTTAGTGACTATCCTGAAGCCCACAGACAGACCCCTATAGTGTGGCAAGATTGCAAGTGGAGAATGAAGGAGCTTGGGTAGGGGTGGGATTGGCCCACATGCCTGTCCCGGTCAGACTCCTCTATAGACCAGACTAGAGTGGACAGAGGAAGTTCCTGTTAACAGTTGGAAAGGGTGTTTCCTAGAGGCTCCAGCTCCCCTGCCTGGGTGCTCGAGATGATGTAAACCCCTGCTGCGGTGGCTGGGGGGGCTGGCCAAGTTTCTTTCTGTTGAGTCTTGTTTCTACCCCAACTCCTAGTCAGTCCTACAGATGCTGGTTTATTTGCACATGCCAGGCTGATCTTGACCTGAAAGCTTCTCATTGTTTTTGAGCTCAGTGTTTAGATAACACCACATGCCTGTGGCAGCCAGGCACCCTGTAAAGGAAATGCTTGGGCTCTAGCAGCCCTGTCATTCATTCTCTGTATGTGAGTGAGTGTGGCCTGTGTTTAGGGCCATTATAAGAGAATTTCTCTGCATGAATTATTACTTGGAGCCAGCTGGGGTACCAGGCTTTTCCTTGATGCCTGGGGTTATAGGGATGGTTTTCTAAGTCTCTTTCCTTTCTTTTCATTCTAGTCATGAGAGGATTAAAGGCTGCTTTTCCCAAGCCTTGTTTCCACACATAGCTGCAGTACCATAGCATTCCTCCCTTTGGTAAGAAGACCACTTTCATAAGCACAAGACTGATTATACCTGGTATAGATGCAGGCTATTTTTATGACCAAACCAGGTTGATAGCTGCCTCTGCACTGTGGTTTCAAGCTCCTCTTCTCATAGAGTATCTTTTCTTTTGAATCTTCCCCATCACTCTCTTGCTCCACTCCCCCCCCCAAAAAAAAAGAAAGAAAAGAGAAAGAAAAAATATATTTATATTCAATATCAAATCTCTTCTGATAGCATATAGCTCTTTAAGTTTTTACTTGGTAAAATGTTGTTAAAGCTTCTTTCTGGAGTCAGATGATGGCTCAGTGGTTTTGCAAGGCTGACCCATATGGGAAGGTTCCAGTTCTCATCCAGAGTCCTGTCTGAACTCGTAGGCAATGTCCATGCCCATGACCTGGGACTGGCTGAGGCTGGGCACACAAGACTGGTGAGAGTGCCTGTTTCTCTCCCTTTCTCTCTCCTCTGCTTCCGCACTCCTCCTCTTTCTCTCTCTCTCTTGCTTATAAAAGAAAGAATCTTAAAACAAAAAACAGAAAGTCCTTCCCCCCCAAATAATTATTTATTTAATTTTATTATTATTATTTAATTTGCTATAGTGCATGTATACTCACCAGAGAGACACAGAGAGAGCGTGACCACACCCCATTGGATGGTGCCTTCTTTTTCTCTCTCGTGAGTGCATGCATCCTCTGGCAATACAAAAAAAAAAAGAAAAAAAGAAAACTCTCTAGTCGTGCCGTAAATATACAAGGTCTCTGAACAGATTTTTAAAAATAAAAAATAAATGCTTTTTATTCTTCAGTAATAAAATTACTATTACTGAAAAAAAATCCAGAGCAAACAATAAGTATCTATTATTGTTGCTAATACTTGTTTGTATTTCTAACAAAGAATAAATATTTCCTTAAATTACATCCACAAGTAGCCAGTTAGAGCTCATGCGATTACTTTCCCAGGCTTTTTCCAGGATTTTGACAAGTTTGGTTGTGCCTGGGTAAACAAATTTTTTTTTTTTTCCTAAAAGTATTCCTGTGAGAGAGAGAGAGAACAAACCCCTGCAATGGGGCTTGATCACGCTGCAATAGTTTTTCCTCTATTTGTCCATCCTGTCAGGATTTTGGACACACATAAACCCATGCCTGGTGTGTTTTTCAAGCTGTTAGGACCGGGATTCAAATCTTGGTTGACCGGGACCAGCAGTTAGTGTAATGGCTATGTCGCTGGATTCCCACGTAGTCGACTGTGGTTCGAGTCCCGGACCCGGTGGCTTAAACTCACACCGGGCACGTGTGTGTGCGTGCCCAAGATCCCGAGAGGAGAATAGAGGAGAAGGGATTGCGGTGGGGCCATCCCCCCGGGGGGTGATTTCTCGCTTTCTGTCTCTCTGTCTCTCTCTGTCTGGCTGGCAAGCAAACGCGCCCTTTAGCAATACAAAAAACCCTTACAAAAAAAAAAAAAACAAAAAAAAAACCTACAAATCTTGGTTGACCATGTGTGATCCAGCTCCCTGTGCACTGTGCTTAACTGCTGCACTGTGAGGCTGGCCCAACTAATGTTTTTGTTTGTTTGTTTTTGAGAGGTTTTTGCTTTAGGGCACGTGTGCTCGCCAGACAGACAGAGAGACAGAGATAGAAAGCGAGAAATCACCCCCCAGGGGGGATAGTCACGCCACAATCCCGTCTCCTCCATTCTCCTCTCGGGATTTTGGCCACGCACACACATGCGCCCAGCGTGAGTTCTAAGCCACCGGGTCCGGGACGTGAACCGCATTCGAGTGGTGAGTGGGAGTCCAGCGACATAGCCATTACGCTAACTGCTGGTTCCCCTAACTAATGGTTTTAATGCTGTCTTTCTTTCAAGATTTTTTGTTATCCTTTTCTTGTAAATTTACTGATAATTCACTTTTTGTAAATTGAGAAGGGTAAGGACAATTTAAGTAACTTGCTTTAATGTTACTAAGGTGCCGTTCCTGTCTTCATTACCTCCTAGCCATTGTATAAGAATGCCTTTTTGCTGAAATTTAGATATGCAAGCCTGACAGCAAGTCCTGGGCACATTTGAAGGAATAAATTCAGTGGGTTTCCAGACTCTTGTCCTGCCTGCCTTGTGCTTAATCCCTGTGCTTTCTGCCTTCCAGTTCTCTCCTGCGCTATGGTGGCAATCTGTCCCTTCAAAGTGCCATGAGTGTACGATTCAACAGCAACGGGACCCAGCTCCTGGCCCTGAGGCGTCGTCTGCCCCCTGTGCTCTATGACATCCACTCCCGCCTGCCTGTGTTCCAGTTTGACAATCAAGGTTACTTCAACTCATGCACCATGAAAAGCTGCTGTTTTGCAGGAGACCGTGACCAGGTATGTTCCCTCTGCCTCCTGCATCTCCAAACTCATGCTTGCCTCTGATGGCTCTTTCCATGTGGGTCTTTATTTCTCATTAGTATCATGTCAAATAGAAACAGTTAAGGAGAGCTTTATCAGAGCTGCTGCTGGGTAACTAGGAAGCATATCCCAGCAACCAAGGCTAGTCACAGTATGGTTCAGGGAACCTAGCTCTGCCCAGTGTGTAAACAGATTTCAAGATTCTAAGAATATGTCATTTCAAAAGAAAGGAGAGTGTCCATGGGAAACTAGTGTGCCAGTGAAACTTTTTTTTCAGTATGAAACAACCTAAGAACCATCCAAGAGGCATGTATCTTCAGTGACCTCTTGGGATGCCATCTTTTTCTTAGGACTGAATACGTCTGAGAGCAGCTAGATGCTGATTCTTTTTCTTATTACTACCAGCATCACAACTGGGAATGGAGAGCCCCAGCTGTGAGCATCCAACCTTTTCTTAGCTTCGCTGTGAATGGAGATAACTGATGTTGACATAAAGCAGGCAGTTTAAAAACGTGCTTCATGTTCTTGCACCTCTTTTGGCCATAGGAGTTCTGAATCAGGTTCAGTGATGTCAGTGACCAGTTGGACCGGTCTTATAATTGAGCTGAGTAAGGACAAATAAAAAGATTGGTCAAATAAACAAACAGGGTTTTTTTTCTTTCTTTTTTTTTTTTTATCTTCTCAAGCACAGCAAATCTTATTACTATTTTAAAACTAGATTGGAGGAACCAGCAAGTGGTGTGGTGGTTAAGAGCGCTGGTCTCCCACATGGCTAACCATGGGGGCTTGCTTTCCCACTTTCCTTCTCTCTCTCTGTCCCTCTCTACTCAAATTAAAATAAATAAATAAAGTTAAATAAAATAATAAAAAAAAAACTAGATCGGAAAAACAGAAAGTTTAGTTTCTTGCTTATGTGTAGTGTGCTAAATTTAAGGGCCCTCACCTATGTAAAATTTTGACATAATCCTCATGTGCTATACTTTATCTCTGTAGTTATTTTGGGGTAAGAGGCATAAAAGACTTTTTTGAGAACCTGCTAATTCCCTGCTTTTTGAAGGCAGAAGCTAGAATTTTTCTCTCTAGACTGAGATTGCTAGAGGCTCCCTAATGTTCTGGTTTAAGGCTTAGTATATATAGTAGAAGTAGAACAAATGCTTGTTAATTCAGTTGCGTGATATCTATGAGAATATTCTCAAAAGAATTCCAAGCTCAGAATTTCTCCTTCTATAAATAAAGAATGTGTGTGTGGGGACCAGCAGTTAGCATAATGGCTATGTCACTGGACTCCCACGTAGTCGACTGCAGTTCACATCCCGGACCCAGTGGCTTAAAACTCACGCCAGGCGCGTGTGCATGCATGCCCAAGATCCTAAGAGGAGAATGGAGGAGACGGGATTGCGGCGTGACCATCCCCCCCCCGGGGGGGGGTGATTTCTCGCTTTCTGTCTCTCTATCTCTCTTTCTCTGTCTGGCGAGCGCATGCGCCCTATTGCAAAACCTCTCCAAAAAAAAAAAAATGTGTGTGTGTGTATACATATACACATACAAACAAAATTTATATTCAAGTTAGACTCCTAGGACCTAGTGAGCTGAGGTTCACACTGGAGACCACTAGGTGGCCTCAGTTATACAAGTGACGTCTTGGGGAGGCAACAGTGCCTGAATGACTTAGTTTTTATTTGCCTATATGGTGCTATAGGCAATTTGTTTCTTGGGTGGGAAGAAGTAGTTTCTGGACATGATCAGATTCTTAGTAGAACAGATCATTGTCTTCTATACACAATGGTTGATTTAACTTCATTTGACAACCAATCCCCTCTCTTTTCTCCCTCCTCCTTTCTTGCTTCCTTTCTTGCTTTTGTTGATTTTCCATCTTCTGCCAACCTCTTATGATTCTTATTTCTTTGAATAGTAAAGAGCATGAGTAAGCGTAATAATGGTTTGTTAGGCTTTGTTGTCAGGAACATAGGGCTGAGGGAAAGGTGAAAGAAGTGAAAGAAAAATGGCTGTGTTGTGTTTTCTTTTGGTCATGTATTAGAAACTAAAGCCTGTCTACATAGAGTCCATAAAACATCCAGAACAAAGGTGTCCAGCCAGAATGTAGAGAGTACCTAGACCATTGTTTCTCAACCGCAGCACTAGCCACATTTTGGCAGGATGATGCTTTGCTGTGTAGCTCGCCTGTGAATTATGGGATGCTTGGCAGCAGTCCTAGCCTTTTTGCACAGGTGCCAGTGATACCATCCTAAGTCGTCCCTCAGATGGCCAGATGTCTCCAGACATTGCCTCATGTCCCGGGGCGGCGGGTAGGGGGGATTGCCCCTGTTAGAGAACCTCTGATCTAAGTTACAATTACCTGGTTTCCCCAAATGTGTTGGAATGATATTGCCACAGAGTCACACAAGGTATTTGGTTGTGCTCCTGGTATGTACATTAAAAATGTAATTGTTGAGCCAGCAGATGGTGTGGAGGTTAGGGTGCTGATCCCACGTGCCTGGCTGCACAGTTCAAGTCCCGGACCTAGAAGCTTGAAAATCATGCCTGGTGCAGGTCTGTGTGTGCATGCCCAAAATCTGGAGAGGAGAGTTGAGAAGAAGGGATTGAGGCGTGGCCATCTCTCCTCGGGGGGTGATTTCTAACTTTCCCTCTCTCTCTCTCTCTCTCTGGCAAGTGCATGTGCCCTGTAACAAAACCATAAGGGAAAAAAAAGGGTAGTTTTTGCTTTTCAAGTTATAGATAATGATAAAACATTGAATGGCTTTTGATTTTCTCTATTCAGATTTGATTATATTATTTGTCACTTTTGCCCTTTGGGAAGAATTTATTGGTATTATATTCTCTCTGACAAACTATATTGCCTTTTTGTTGAGGTAAGTGATTTTTCTTGGGTAAAGGAGGATGTGAAGTCATTGAATCCAACTTTGGATCAGTTAGACAGTTAAAATGTTAATAATCTATACATATGCCCCATAGATTATCAAAGGTATATAACTTTAGGGAATAGGAACAGAGATACATGTTTGGCTTTTTTTCTTCACTTATTAGGGACCAAGATATATAGTCAGGTCATCATTGTCTCATTTCCAAATCCTGCCACACAGTGAAAGTGCAATAAATGTTTGTTGAAGTGAACCTTGAGTACTTTGATCAGCATGCAATATTTAGCTTTCCAATCCTAAGGCACTTCTCACTGTAAATCAGGATTGATAAGTATCTTTTTTTCCTGTTCAACTTCCTGGAGTATTTAGGAAGATGAATTAAGTAATGGATTTATAGTTAAACTAATCTACTGAGCTTATAGTTTTTAAAAATATTGCTGAAGAGGCCAAACTTAGTGTCTCAGACCTCTAACATGTCTTTAAGAAGTAATTTATAGACCCAGCTGCAGTGGCATGGCAGTCGCACAATGCTCTGCAAGTGGAAGCCATGTGTAGTACTTGCGTCTGTTCCCAGGTTCACCTGTATATGCTGGGCACATGTTCTCATGCCATGATCCTGGCAGCTCGGAAAGGCTCGTGGGAGGATGGCAGTATGAAACCCTATTGAGAGTACTCTTTTTCTCTCTCTTTCTCTGTCTCTCTAACGAAATAAGTAGACTTTTATGCATTTTTTTAAAGGTGATTTATAGGCTCTGACTTTACATACTCAGGGATAAAGCAGCAGCTGCCATAGTTACAGTATGATCTATAGGACTCACATGTATATATTTTTTGACTAGTCTAGACAACATCTTTTTGCTATTTTCAAATTCCAAAGCCTATCCTTTCCTTATATTGGTCTTTATATTTGATCTCATTCCTGTATGCTCTGAGAACGTCCATAGCCTGAGGCTCTGTGCTCTGGAACTCTTCATTTAGTCATAGGCTGGGTAACCATACCGGAGAGGAATATGAGAATTTCCATAATAGGAATGAACATGGACAAGAAAAGCAGTAAGTGGTCCCATCTATCTCAGACAGTCTTTTGGCTTTTCATTTTGATGAGATTAGTCAGTCCATGCGAATGTGCCCACATATTGTACTAGAGAGCCTACACTTCTTTTTAGACTTTCCTAGTTCACTAGGTAATTCATTAACCTCAAAATGAAATTACCATTTCAAGAAATTGGACTCAGAATAAAGTGTAAAATATGTTGAGCTGAGCCTACTTTGTGTTTCCCCATGTTCATTGTTGCCATCAGAGATAAATTCTAATTCTAGAGCTATTAGAGATTATTTTGTTCAAACGCTTCCTTTGAGAAGGAGAGACTGAGAAAACTGAGACTCACAGAGGTTGGCTATACAAGTCCCAATATAAACAAGCTTGTAGCTGCTCCAGGACTAGAAGTCAGATTTTGGGACTTTCAGTGAAGACTTCTTTTCCCTATATAGACAGTCACCTCATGTTGTCAACAGGAGCAAGGCAGGCAGCAAAAATGAGTGAATTGTGGACTGACTCTATAGCATGATGATAATGTGCTAATCAAGAAAGCTGATCCATATGGTTCGAATCCCTGGCCCTGTCATTCAGAACATGCCAGACACACTTGTGGGTGCCCAGCATCCAGTGGACTGGAGGACTAGAATTGTAGTGTGACCAGACCCTGTGAAGGATGTTCCTTTCCTCCCTCATACTCTGTCAGGTGTGTGTACATATATTCTATGTGAATGAAGATTTAAAAAAAATAAGTAGTGAATTGGACTAGAAGGAAACACTAGAGAGTGGTGAAGACTGTGGCCAACTGGAGAGCCCACATTCTGTATAAACAGTATAGCTTCTGTTCAGCTTCAGCCCACTGTTGCTATGTGAGTCTCCTCATTATCAGGGCCACAGACTTTTTTTCAAGGCAAGGTTGAAATAATGTTTATGTGTAATCTCCCGACTTAAATATTGCAACAAATTCTTATGTTATTATATAGTTGAACAGACCTGTGCACCACACCTATTCTGTTCCAGAGCCACCAGTTTGGAACCCCTGTGCTTCATTCAGCTGGCCT